CTTAAATAGTGAAGAGAATCCAACAGCCCCTCAATTTCTTCATCAATAAATAATCCAGGTTGAGTTCTATCCAGTGTGTTATTTGGTTACCTGAATGAATAATTTTATGACACATGCTTCTCTCTCTCTTTCAGAAACACCCAGGTGTCTTGCGCTGTCCTTGACACAAACGTAAGTGCAAAAGTAAACACCCCTCAGGGAAATGTATGCATGCTGGGGCCAGGCTGGCTCAGCAGATCTTCAAAATGAGCCTGAGCTCACCCTGACTGGGGACACACATTTTGATTCTAAGACTAGATGTCCATTAACAGACAGGCTAATAGGGGATGTGCAGAAGGGAAGACACATGTCACAAACTGTGGCCTTTGTTTGTTGCATAATGGCATCAAGAATGATAGCATTGCATCAGGACTTCAGACTCGGGGCAAGCTATTCCTGCGTGCTAGGGAGAAGGCAGGAAGGGCATCTTCTCTCCCTGGCACTGGCTGGAGTTTGCTGCTAACTGCCTGTTTCTGTATCTCCACTGGGTTTCTAGTCCCTCCAGGCATTGCCAGAATTTGGAGAGGCTCAGAGTTGCCATCCTCCTGGGGTTGCATTCCCTCATCTTTTTCTGGTTTTGCCTGTGTCCTTAGGCCAGGTTTTTCAGCACCTGACTAGAGTGCTTTTTTCTCTGACGTGCATCTTAACACCTGCCCACCTCTAACTTTCTTCTCTCTAGTGACACTACATTTGGGAAGAGGAACTTTGAGCAAGTGCTAACTGTAGAGCTGTGTGGGACAGCAGGTAAGCCATTCATGTAAAGAGGCCATGCTCCCTTCCCTTTGTTGTTCAGATTCTCTCAGGACATGTGGGGGGAAAGTCCAACCCCAAGATGTCCAAGCTGAGATGGTTTACTGGGCATACAAGGGTAGTTTCCATCTTAACTCCTAAGGGAGTGATGGGGTCAGCATCACCTCCATCCCCCTTTGACTCCTAAGCCCAAAAGGCCAGGTACCATTTACAACTAGGTTGAGTGGGGGTAGCCTTCGTGAGGGTCACTTTGATCTAGCTTGTGCTGACATGGCACAAAGTCATACTGCCTCGGCAGGAAAACTCCTCAAAGGGTTTTACTCTTGTGGTTTGTTGGGGGTTTAAGGTCTCACACCGCCTACCACTCCGCCATACAAGCCTGCTGAGGAGGACCTGTATAAGCCAGACATTCACCATGGGCCAGAAAAGGAGAAAGTAGCCATCCTCCCTCCCCTTCCGGGGCCAAGGACTGCCGCAGCAGACACAGCGACCTCCAGGAGACTCCTGAAGAAGCACCCAGAACAGACAGAGCTCTATGCCCACCTGAGCCGCGCTGCTGTGCGTCCTCCTCCCCTAGAGCAGCAGGGAGTGCTGAAACGCCCATTTTCTCGCTCTTTCGGGGACCACGACTACTGCCAAGTAATGAAACCTGAGGCCGTGCTCCAGCGGAAGGTGCTGAAGTCCTGGGAGCCCCTGAGCCACACAGCAAGTGAGCACAAGCGAAGGGTGCCAGATACACATTACCAGGGACTTGTCCAGGGCAGCAAGGAGGAGAATGGCCAGGCCTTGTGGAAGGAGGGTACTAAACAACTTAGAGACCAGGAGATCAGAGCCAGCTTAACCAAGCACTTTGGCTTTCTGGACAGTGCCCTTGAAGATGAGTATCTGACCTGCAAGACCCTTGATTATGACACTGTCTTTGAGGACAGCTGCAGTGAGAGTGGGTCCCCGGTAGAGGAGGAAGAGGAGGAAGAGGAGGAGGAGGAACACTGGGAGAGTCCACTGGAATCCAAGTTGTGTCTGCGGAGAAACCCACTTGCCAGGACCAGTATACACCACTGTTCCCGGAGCAGATCCAGTTCCGGGTCTTCATGCTGCAGGTCCAGGTCTCCAGCAAACAGACGGGCCTTCAGGTAACAACTGGGCAGCTGGCAGGAAGGGAGGGATGCAGTTGTTGGATCCTAACTCACAAGCTAGCCACAAGTGAATAGAAGTCCCTGGGGGGCTCATATTTGGGCTGGAGGAGTGGCTGGTGAATAGCATGGGCTGTCTACTCCACTTCTGCTGCTGTGGGGCAGGTCACTCCATTGGGAAAACAGAGGCATGGAGCCATCTGTCAAGTGAGGAAAATGCAAAATGCTCCATACAGCACTGAGATCCTCAGCTGAGAAGCAGTGGCTGTAGACAGGCTGAGTGCTGTTTGTCTCCTATCAGTATTATGGACATGAGGACCCTACCCTCCCTGAGATGAACACCCAATGAAAATACTACCTTACAAAACTATCCTACTATTTTCTAAAGGCTCTGCCTTCCCCCATGGACTAAATCTAAGCACTCACTGCCACAGGCTACACAGGTGTTCAGCATCTGATATCAGCCCAAAAATACCAGATGGTTCAGGGTTAGCTGTGAATGCCTCCACAGTGCCAATTGCACATTGATCTGAGTTTCTTCCAAAAGTCCAGCCTAACAGCAAGAAAATTCCCATTAATTCACCTCCCTGGTTGATTTTGTACATAAAAAAAATCATGAAAATAAATGGCACTGCATCACCAGCCTCTTGAAATTGCTGAGCTAATGCTTGACCTGTTTGAGTTAGATGGTGGAGAGGTTATAGTCAGTGTTTGGGTGGCAGGGGGGTTTGGGCTGTTCCAGGGAACAGGGAATAATGCTGTGTCTTAAATGCTAGAACAAGTCCTAGAGAAGCTCAGTGTGGTTTGGAAAACCAGCTCCTTCCCTGGCTGCTCCACACCCAGCTCCAGTGGAACCAGCTCCACCAGAGGCTCCTAAGTTGTTTGTTCAAAACTGGTGCCAGATCCTGTAAACTCAGTTGTGTCTCATTTTCCTTTTGCTTTCCCAAGCCCCCTGGCAAGACCCCCATCCATCCAAGGTTTAACACCTCTTTCTTGCTTCTTTATAAACAGATGTGAAAATGGTGAGCAATGTCAAGGTGGAACTGCGAGCCGGAGCCAGATGGAGAAGAGGAGAGAAAAGGCCATTGTAAGTGACCTGTGAGCTCCAAGCCGGTGCTGCCCTGAATGAGGCGGAAGCAGCATGACTTCCAACAGGAGCTGGCAGCTTCATCCTGCTGCAGCCTATTTAAATGTTCAGACAAAGCCCTTCACAGACCTTCCATTCATCTCCCGCTCCAAAAGGGAGATGGTGGAGCGTATTGGCCCTGGTTTCAGCAACCCTTGGTGCAGAGCCAATTTTAAACAAGGGTATAGGAAAAAAATAAAGCAGAAGCAATTGGAGATTGGCAATACACAGAGTCCTTGGCATGGGAGGAATCCAGAGCATCCTATGTTGGGGGATTCAGTGCACTTGGAATTAGCAATTACTATTGGGAATTTGGGGATTACCTGAAATTGCTACGTGATTATTAAGCTAAGCCTCACTGCACATAAAGAATAATAGATGTACATGGAGAGTCTGCATGTTTGCATGTGTGGAGAGAGGGAAATGTATTGCTCTTCTGTATTGCCTTGTTCTCTCTCTCTTTCGCATGCACACACATGTAAATTCCTAGCAAGTGTTCCTCAGGAATACTCAATAACATTCTTGTACTTCCACAAGCAAAATCTGTAAGGGCTGAAGGAATAGTAAAAAGAAAGAAAGGAAAGAAAATGGAGTGCAGAGGGATCACATATGTTCTGAGAGAGCTGCTTGCCCAGAAGGGCTGTGTCCCTGCTTTAGCTTGGTTGATGATGCATGTGCTCAGAAATATGACAGCACTGTCCAGCATTGTGACTCACCAGCATCCATCAGCATAGTGCCAAGACAGTAGCAGGGGGAAAGAGATGAAGAAGGTCTGGGAGGAGGATACACCTAAGCAGTGTTGGTTGTGTTGGCACAGAATGAAGGCCGGATGGTGTACATCAGAAACCTCTCCAGCAGCATGAGCTCCAGCGAGCTGCAGAAACGCTTTGAGGTGTTTGGCGAGATCATTGAGTGTCAGGTCCTGACCAGGAAAAACAGGTATGTCTGCAGAGTGTTGCTCGAACCTCCCTCACTGCAGGTGCAGAAGAAACTGAGCAGTAGAAGTGTCCTCCATGGCTTGAGCATGCAGGGTGTGCAGCTCATCTGGCTGAGGCACCCTCATATTAAACTGGAACATATAAATGTGGTACTGAGCCCAGTGCCTACAGCACATCCCAGCACTCGAAGGGGTTAGCAGAACTGTCTGCAAATTCTCCTTGGGTGTGAATGTGTGCAGGAAGATAGGGGACTTGACAAAGTACCAGAGGTGAAGTGAAACACACTGTACAGTTTCTGCACATGATGCAGTCAGTAAACTAAATTACACAGGATCAGATTCTGTTCCACCTATTTGGAAGGGCAATGGACATAGGCACCTAAGTATGATTTTGTTCCACCCCTGCTCAAGTCCCTGAAAAACAGTTAATTAAAATGTGGGTGGGGCATTGTCTTCTTCCTTCCCCCCTCTGCTTTTTTGTAACTCAGTCTTAAGGGTAAGACTCATAGATTCACAGAAGTTTAGGGCTGGAAGGGACCTCATGAGATCATCATCCTGCTCTGGGCAGGAAAGACTGCTGGGGTCAAATAACCCCAGCAAGGTGCGTGTCCAGTCTCTTTTTGAAGATCTCCTGGGTAGATGCCTGCACCACCTTGCTGGGAGTCTATTCCAGAGTCTGGTCACGCGAACCATGAAGAAGTTTCTCACGGAAGTATATGCAGTCTGAAACCTTCTTCTAGGACTTTATGACCATTGCTTCTGGTTTTCCTCTGGGGTGCTTTGGTGAATAGTTGTTCACCTAGCCCTTGATGTTCTCCCCTGATATATTTATAAGCTGCCACCAAGTCTCCCCCAAAAATCTTTTCTTTTCTAGGCTGAACAGTCCCAGATCTGTCAGTCTTTCCTTGTATGGCTTGCTCTTGAAGTCTCTAATCATATGAGTGGCTCTTCTCTGGACTCTCTCAGGCTTTTCCACATCCTAAGATGATGGTGTGTTACAAAAATAGATGCATTCGTGGGCTTTCAGGGACCTGAACAGGGTGGAATAGAATTGCACATAAGTGCCTAACTCCACTTAGATACCTAATAGGTGTAATAGGATCTGGTCTCAAGCAGTTCTCAGCTCCTGGGAGATTAGGCAACTCCCATCCTCCCTCCTTCCTGGCACTAGTTTTGGGCCACACTGTTATTTAACCCCTAAAGCTAACTCAGAGAGGTTACCTGGCACAGGTAGATTGTGGCATTTTGAGCTTAAGGATGGTAGAGCCATGGGGTGCTGAGTGGCGGGAGTTAGGACTGCAGATAATCAAGGTGAGCTGGACCAAGCCAGCAGAGCAGGATGGAAAGGAAGAGTAGGGCCAGTCATTTCTTGATTGCTGTCATTTGCTCAGGGGGGATAAATACGGCTTCATCACCTACCGATGTTCAGAAGATGCCGCCTTATCACTGAAGAATGGTGCCTCACTGAGGAAAAGGAATGAGCCATCATTCCAGCTGAGCTATGGTGGTCTCAGGCATTTCTTCTGGACCAGATACACTGACTTGGGTAAGAAAGCAGGTGGGCCAGATTGGGGAGCCAAACCCTTAGGGAAGGAGGTTCATGACCCCTTTTAAAAGCCAGTGCCTAAATCTGTCAAGCTGGGAGCCCTGCAGTCTACACCATCCTAGGAGAATCTGAAATTCCCATGTGGGTCACCTGCCAGCTCAGTCAGCCATTTGGAGACTGGATGCATTGCCCCAGTCAGACTTCCCTGGGACCTACAGTTTCTTTAGTCATGATGTAAAACCAGAGCCTGGATGCACATGAGCACTAGGAAATCTCTGCATGTCGAGGAACATGAGGGGAGGTTCAGAAGCACTGCTGGCTTAGAGACCCTGCCCTCTCAGGCTGTCAAGGGAGAGGCATCCACTCTTGAGAACAGAGACATAGGAATAGGCCACCTGAATTCTGGCACAGCTTGACCCTGCACCTTTATACGCAGTTTCTTTTCTTTTCTTTAATGGAAAAATTCATCCTGTGGTGGAACCATATCTACCTTCAATGTGAGTCCTTAGCAGGGTTGGGAGCTTGGCACGTACAGCACAGTCCACCAACCAGGCTTCCCAAGTAAGTAGCAGAAGAGGAAATCTGCTAACTTACATGTGGATCTGCCAATAGCAGCAGTGGAGACGCATTCCAGTAGGCTTCACAGCTATTGACAAGATAGCAAAGGGATGTTGAGAGTCCTGGCTTCAGTTCCAGGCTTTGTAGCGTGTCCAGTGGTTACCAGCTCCTCTGCCCCTCCCCAGCCTTTCCAATCCGTTCCTCATACCTTCGCCTCTGAGTCAGCCAGTTCCCCCATGCTGCCTGAGTACTGGCAGGGGCATCTTTGAAAACTCTAAAAAGAGTTTCTTCTAGTTTTAGCACACAGAAGCATGGAGCAGTGGCAGGAAATGTCCTGCTGAGCCCCTGCATCCCTGGGCTGCAGCTTGCTCAGTGCAGACTCACTCAACAAAGAATTTAGCTGCCTCTCTCTTAGCAAGGGTACAAGTGAACTGAAAATATTAGAGACTCATCACATGTCCAAATTTGGACAATTTTTTATCTGGCAGGAAGAAAAGGCATGCCTCTGTGTCCAGCTTAATCCTTTGCCAAATTTCAGACCCATCCTTCAAAGCACAGAGCACTCAGCAAAGTGATTCTAAGAAGTTTTCTTAAGGAGGGCAAAACACCATGTTTTGCTTTTGCTCTCAGAAACAGCCAAGCTGGTTTGCTGAAACTTCCCCAAAAAATCCAGTCTGAGGCAGACATCCACCATGAGACATTTCGGTCCAAACGGTTAAAGTTTGTCAAAGTTCTAATCAAGCAGCAAAAAAAAAAATGTATTCTAGTGCAAAGTGTTGAGCGAGCTTAACTATAGGCACTGCTAGTAGCCTATAACAGAAAACAAGTCATTGCCCAGGATTTCCAGGGAGAAATGCCTGCCTTTTGCTGAAAAGAGAAGGTTTTTTACAGGACAGGCTCCTTTATTGCCAGATTCATTAGGGGTTTAGGTAGAAATGGGGAGCTGTTGTCATATCTTTGGGAGAGTGTCACTGAGCGCATCTATATGAGACGCTTAAAGCGCAGTAGACTAATTCTGCTGCGCATTAATGTGTGACAGAAAAAGCCATGCTAATGCACTAATAAACAGTAGAATTCGTTTACTGTGCATTAGCGTCACTTAAAAGATGTGCACTGGCACTACTGCATACTAGCACCAATTACTGCGCATTAAGTTAGTACCTGTTATTACATGTATGAAACTTAACACGTCATAATTACAGCACATTAATGCATGTGTAGATGCACCCACTGTCTTTTTTTTTAACTGTCAATTAAACCAACAGAAGCCTCAAATCCATCAGCTCTTTTGAGTAGGCAGCAGGACTGATTGTGGATCTGGGAAACTGGAATTCTCATATTCTAATCCCAGCTCCTGCCACTAAGTCATGGGGGCAGCATGGCAAAGCTGGAGACAAGCATTCAGGAGACTAGGGTCCAGTTTTCAATTGTGTGGTGTGAGCCTAGGCAAAATGTATCACTTCCTTTCATCCTGTCTTGTTCAGCCTCCTTGGGGCAGGAACAGTTTCTCACTATGTGTTTATAGAGTACCTATCACACAGGACCTCAGTGGTTGAGGCCTCTGAACATAACTAATATAGTATCCTACGTGTGTAAGACATGGAGCCTTGGTGACCCTTTTTGATAAATGGGGACAACACCTGCTTCCTAGAAGGATGCTTTGATCTTTAAGTAACAATATGGACACGAAGAAAGCATTTCATCACTACACAGTCCCTGCCGGTGCCCTGTGTCCCTGACCCTGTTGTGTTCTCTCCCTGCTCCCAACAGATTCCAATGCAGAAGAGTCCTCCCTAGCTCCAGTGAAAAGCAAGTATGAGACCATGGATTTTGACAGCCTGCTGCAGGAGGCCCAGCAAAGCCTGCATCGATAACAGCCTTAACCTTGGAGGAACACCTCAATACCTCAGTCAAGGCACTTCCACTATGTTTACGTTTTCAAAGAAAAATTACTAAGTATCTGAAAAGAACGAGCGAGCGAGAACGAGAGTAAGCGCGAGAGAGAGACTGCTGTCCCTTCCAATCGATGTTTACATTGAACAAAGCTGCTTCTGTCTGTGAGTCCCCATGGTGTTGATGTCCCACTGCCACACATCAGTATCCTTGCTTCTGACTGGTTGTTCTAGGGTGAGCCTGTAAAAGCCTTCTGTCCACTACTGCCCCTCCCCATCTCCCCCCTCTTTCCCCAATGCTCCCGTCGTGGAGTTGCAGCTGTGTTCACCATAACATTTTTGTCTGTAGTGTGTGATGATGAAATTGTTAATTGTGAATAGAATCAGGATTATAAACTAATTTTTAATAGAAGAGAAAAAAAGTATATACTTAAAAATGTATTTATGGCTCAGATGTACTGTAATTCAGATTTATTGTACCGCTTCCTTGATTTTTAACTATGCACTGTAATGAGGCATTTGCCGCTGAGCAGATGGAGTCAGGCCAGAAAGGTGCCCACACATCAGTCTCCCAGCCAGGCTTTGCCCTCTTGGTTGTGGAGTGTCTAGCCTGGCACATTACTAGACTGAACCGTTCTGAGGTCAGGTTTTGGTATCCTGGTTTGCTGTAGAAGCCAAGCTTCCTGCCTACATGGCTGGGCCTGTTGGGCCCCCAGTCCTGCCCCAGTCATGGGGTTGTCTAGGCCTGCTGGACTATGAAGGGTTGAATGGTCTGGCACAAGCTGAACTGAAACTGCCACGGTGCTACAGTGGTGCAGCTTTGTAGGAGCGGGGAAGGGGATTTACGAGGAATTAGTGATGGAAGTCAAAGGGCCACCCAAGTCCAGCTGCCCAGTGACCTAGCTTGGTTAAGTCATACTGGTTTGTGTAGCCAGTGAAATGCAAGAGTGATGTTGCCAGTGTCAGGTCCAGGTGCCTCGGAATCACCACCTGAATGACCAGGTACCATTAACAGCTGGGTTGATGGGGGGTGGCCTGTGCCACAAGTCCAGTGTGAGCCTAAACCTCACACCTCTGGAACTGTGGAAAGACAATTTCATCACTTTGCCCCAATGCCACAAGGATGGAGCATTAGAAAGCTATCAGACCAGTCGCCAAGGGGTTAATCTTTGCCAGCCACACTCTGGATGGCATCAGTCACCATGGATTATAGGCACCGTCCTGCTTTCTGAGCCAGGGAGAGGGAAAAGAGCAGAAGCCCACAGTCTCCCCAGAAGGATTGTCCAAGGGGTAGAGCTTGGTCACCCCTCAATACACTGGCAGGCACATTAATCCCACACTGGGGGAGGTCACATCTCCATGTTGATGATCAGCCAGAATCTCTGCCTAGCATTGCTGGCTACTCTCCTGCTCCATCATAGGGATTTCTGAGCTAGGGCTAAGTGGCTTGTTTTTCTCACAACTGCTTCCACAATGTGCAAGGAAACCGGGGTGAGTTCTCCTGGCAGCAAGGGCAGAGACTGCCAGCACAGCAAGGGACATGGCAGCTAAGCTGTGCAACCCTGTCCCATCCAGCATACTGCCCTCCTCTGACCGGTACTGAATAAGCCATAAACCTACCAGTACAACCAGGAAGTTGGAAGATCCCATCACCCCCGCAACAACTCTTGGCCATTTCTTCTCAGCCCTTCCCACCTCCCAGGCAAGGCTTCCGACCTGCAGAGTACAGGTGGCAGAGACACTGCAGCTCTGCTGGGCATATGACTGCAGCTCTCGCCTCTGGTTTCTGAGACCTGCAATCTTGGGGTCCATGCAAGGCCAGTCACGAGTGCTGTGTTCAAGGTGTACAACTATCATGTTCAGCAGCATCCACCGAGTTCTCTTGTACAGTTTAAAGCCATTCCGTTTCCAGGAGCAGGGAGAGACTGAGTCCATTAGAGAAAAGCAAGAGACAGGAAGCACTTCACAGTGGGGATCAAATACCTTTGCCGACTCCTCAAGCTGTCACCACATTTTTGGTTTGTTTTTCACATGCAGGAGAGACCACTGGGGTTCAGCCATCCCGTGTAGATAGAATTTAATAGCCTTAACTCTGCCAGTAGCTAGATTAGATTCCCATGAGGTCTCCCCTAGAACATGGCACTGATTTTCTGTTTTTTGGTAATGCTTCATCTTACAGGGAACACAACCAGCAGCTCAGTAATTCCCCAGATCAGATGCTGAGTGCCTGCCTCATGCTGACTTGTACCTTACTCCACTGACTTCATAGGCACTTGCTCGTACTGTGAGGTATGATTTACCATGCGGAGGGCACCAGAATGCAGTCCTATCCTACCCTGGTTATCTCAGTTTTCTGATGCAGAGCCCATGGCTCTAAAAACTGCCAGTTCCATGGTAATTACCAATGAACTACAGTTCCCAAGTGTAGGTTTACTGAATCCTCATACAGCATATTCATGCAATTACAATCCCAGCCCACAGAGTAATTACAACGCATTATGACCCTACTGTAAAATCTGGTCACGGGCACTTTCCCGGCTTCTCATCCCAACATAGGTTACACAGGTAACACCGTCCTGGTTGGAGCATCTGCTATTGGCAACTGCCTCATTGTAGCTTTGCCTTTTTCTGTCCTAGTATTTCCTCACAACAATGATGTTTACATGTGATTGCTATAGAGCTTACGTAGAATGTATATAGCGACACATTAGGGTGGGTAGTACTGTCCTGTGCTGTGCTGTTTTTCAGAAAACGATCAATCAAAAATGCTAAGTGGAATTCTTCCATCTCCTTGCTCAGTACAAGGATGGATCAAAGCTCACAAGGCTGGCTTTGGTCACGGATGGAAAATGCATCAAACGTTAAGAATGTGAAAGGGTTGAATGCAGCTATTAGGAGATCTTTCCAGTACCTGGAAGGAGCCTCCTTCAGTGTGAATCACTCAGTCACTTCGCAAACATTGGTTTCTATACCCAGTTTTAAATCTCATATTGCTTTTATGAGGCTGGACTTCCTGAGCTGGCCACCAGCCAAGGAGACTTCTGCGCATCAAGTGAGGTACTCTTGAAGAGGAAGGAAGATCTCGTAATGCACAGAGCCAATCAGTACTGCAATCCTAGGATAGGAAGAAATGCAATAAGTGGTCTTCATGTTGCCTGAAGCCTATAAAATATTTTTGCAAGAAACTTCTCCAGGACTTATGCAATATGCACGCAGGTGCACAAACGCACAGATATATGGGTATGGCAAGGGCAGAGCACTGTGTCCTTGTGCTGCTGCCGGTGGCTATATGCACAGTGACTGTGAACCCAGCCCTGCTGAATGTAAAACCAGAGAGGCTGGGTTTGGAATGTATACAGAGTTTACGCTAGTTAGCTCAAAGCAGTGCCTGCGGCTTATCTTCATGGCTGCTGAGGCCTGGATGTTGAACTTGAGAAGCACAGGTGCGAATATTCACTTTCTTTAACCCCACACACTGGTTTAAGGTGAAAAAAAAAGGTTCCCTCTTCATTTCTTCTTAAGCTTCAGTGGGCTGGGTGTGGTCCCAGGGAAGGGGTTACATGACATACTTGCCTGGAGGAGTCTGTGCTGTGCCCATGGGGCATGACTCCTTCATCAGGGGAACACAACACAGCTCAGGGCATTGTGCAGCCCATTGAGAGCCCAGCCACAAAGGTTCCTCTGCACATCACAGGAGGCAGGTGATTCCCAGTGTGGCGCAGACTGGGGGCCTCACCCACCAAGGGACAGAAACCAGCAGGAATCAAAGGCACTCAGCACCTCCCAGGACTGGTCCCCTAGTTTGGGGATGGGAATGGTATTCACTTGAGGAATGGCACTAGTAATATGAAAGGAATAGCTTTAAGTATCGCTGAGCCACTTCATGCACAGAGTGGGCCACCTAGCCCAGTGGGTCCCATGCAGGAGGAAAGAGGCTTATTCACTGTGCAGAGAGTGGCACTGTGCACCCCAACCAAGGAAGGGAATCCACCTCAGTTCAGCTTTCCTGGTTTCCTCTACCTGCTGTATGCTGTTTCCTGCATTTTAAAGGGACAAAGTCTTTTAAAGATTTTAAAGTCTCCTACTTTATTCCCCTTCTCTTTGCACAGTCTCTGTAAATCTCTTCCCTCCCCAGTAATACCTATAATGCCAGCAACCCCATATGCGTGGGTAACCCTAGCCATAACAGCATCTAACGGAACAAACCACGCACCTAAAAGGGAAGGGGAGAAAATGATTTTAAAAAACAGAGTGTGGTCTCAAGGAGACAACATGGGTAGAAAAAAGGGTGTTATGGGTGGGCAGCCAGGAGGGGAATTTATTTTTTAAAATTATATTTATAGCTATATCTATATGTGTATGTATGGAAAATATGTAGAAAACCCTGTTGTTATCAGGGAGGGAAAAATATGACAAAGAGAGAAAATCCCCATTCCCCTTTTTTGCGTCCAATTGCCCTTCACAGTCTCATTGCTTTACAGGAGATGCAGCTCTCTGTTTGGGAGTCAAGTAGATTCCCATGACAACTCCTTGAGAGGAGGAGCTGTTCTGAATGTCCGGGCTGGGGGAACGCAGAGGACAGTGCAGGGTTGTAGATCTCGATGTTGCCCCTGGAAAATTTCTATGTCTAATTCCTACTCAGTGCAGCTTTCTGAGCTGTATTACCTCCAGGAAGTGAAAACGGCAGCTCAGTCCTTATGTTACAGTGTTAGTGTTAGATTTCAGCACTGGCCCATGTAAAGAAGCTTTACAGAACCAGCTATTTTTTGTACTGATTTTCTTTTTTTTGGAAATATGCTGAATCCTTAATATAACATTACCTGTAGCTGAGCCTTTACAATCTTTTGTTCTTAGCAACAATCGTCCATCCCTGACAATCTTGAGCAATATAGAACCAAATAAAGCCTTCCGGTTTCCATTGCTCTTCCTAGACAGATGCTGGAATCAGGTAGCTTAGAAAGTCTGGTTGTAAAACACCAGGTGGCACAGTAAGGGGCATTATTTCTCTGAGAGCCAAACAAAGTTAACCAAGTGGGAGAGTGCATGTGCGCATATGTGCGTGTGTGTGTATCTGAGAGAGAAAGATTAAATTGATGCATTTCTTGAGAAAGGTGTAAGAATTTCACCTAAAAAGGGGCACATCTGCTTTGTTATTTATAATAAAAGTTAAATTCTACTTTTTTTTTTAAAACAAAAGGACACTGCTAATAATGATAAGGGTCCAATTCTGCCACCCCTACTCAAGGTGAGTAAGTAGTATCTTACTGCTCTATTTTACTCACAGAGTAAGCTGAAGGAGCAGGATTGAGCCCTCGGTGATTACAGATCTAGTTTTTAGTCTGATGGTTTTTTTTAAAATTGGTAGCGGTTTTTATATTTCACTTAATTTTCCCCCCCAGTTCCATTTCATTGTGTCCTTATTTATGTAATATACTTTAACCTTAAAATGGCATGAATTCTTATGCCTTTCCTTTATTATTATTGTTATTATTATTTTTAAAAAGAGATTTATTTCTAGTGTGATTTAACTGTCTACCTTCTAAACGAGAGAACGTTTTCTTGTATTTTTACATTGTCAGATTCTATAGTTTCATAGATAATTTAACCAAATCGCTCAATGTATTATCTGTATCTATCCAGTGGGTATAAAAGTTCTATTTTAAATTGTGTAAATACTTCAGAACTGGCTTCTTTTTTCAGACTCCCCCTGCTGCGGGGTTTCTTGTTTACATCACAAAGACTGTAGAATCTCTACGCTCATGTACTGTAAATAGTGAAGTGATCTGCCTATAAATAAACTATAACATATACAATATAAAGTAAAAAAAAATCTGTCCCGGTAATGCTTCAAGCTTATTAGCACAAGCCCACTTATGCATGTTTTCGGAGGAGATATTTTTGCTGCAAAGGACTGTTTGCCTCGTATGTCTTAAATGATTCATTTGAAAGTAAAGCTTGTTTCTTCCTTCATGCCCACTTAATTTAAAACATAAATGTTTGTCTTAACAGTACATGACATGTACAGTACATGGCATAGTTCATTTCTTTCACTTGCTGTTGCCACTGGAAAGAGTCGCATGTTCCTCCAGAAGGGGTTTCCTTTGGAGACATTTCATGTATGTTGCACCTTCCCTTCTCTACATAGAGAAATTGAACAGCATCAGACTGGCATTTTAAACTGATTTTTTTAAACCAGCACAAACCTCTGGCTGTGTACAGAAATGCTCCATGTACGTTCTACACTGCTGTAATTTAGAGCATTTTTTATAGCACTATAGTGCTCTTAAACATGACAGAAGTGCAGTGTTGGGGGGGGGGGATGGCAGGAGGGGAGAGCAGAGCCTTCTGAGCCTTCCTGCACTTTCCAGGGTAGGTGGCAGGGGGTGCTCCACTGGTCAGAAATTTGACCACCATACAGAAATGATGTAAAATGCTGTAGGTTGCTAACGTGCTGTAAAATACAGTGCTTCAAATTTAATACCTGATTTAACAAGGGCTGATTTAAAGCACTGTATCCATTTTTAAAGTGCTGTATAGCTGTGCACTTCTGTTAAGTCAAGGCAGTAAAGCACTTTAAATGGCAAAAAAAGCAACATCTATACACACACTTAAATCAAAATAAGAATATCTGCACAGAGGGTAATTTACTTCAGTTTGTTCCTTTTGGCTACATTAAGCCAAACTGTTTAGAACAAATGCCCACACACAGACCCACTGCATTGGTTTAAGAGACCTCCGTTAGTTAAATGGGTGTAAAACCATGTGTAGACAAAGCTTTAAGCTAAGACTCAGGATTTTATGAAGCCCATTCCATACTGTGATACACCAAGGAAAGATGAGACACATTGGGCTACACAAGATGCTAACTGCGCAGTAGCCTAATAATACTGAGCATGTCACAGCACAAATAGTGCTAATATGCTACTGCACAATAGTATTAGGCTACTGCTCAGTTGCATCACTAAACAGGCATGTGCTGGCACTACTGCACAGTAACGGGTTACTGCACATTAATTTAGTACTTGATTATACAAGTACTAAATTTAATGCACAGTAGCCACCCTGCATTAATGAACATGTAGCCACGTCCAGCGGGTCTTGATCCCCCAGCCTTCAGATGAGATGTTATACTGAGGCCCTTCCCTGGTGGAAGTTGCAGTTGGGTGAGACCGTCTCACCCAAAAACTGATACAACAAAAAGACCCTCACTTCTTTCACTCAGAGCCCTAGGTGAGCCATTTAAAGCCCTGTGCTACATAAATTATTCCTACGTGCACATCATAGCTTTTGTTTGACTTTGCTGTCACTGCCCATTCCCTTTGTAAGAAGGGTAGTTGACACGCCACTCTCAGGAGGTGCTATAAACCTGATTGTGGCCAGCAGTGGAGAGATTCCCATGACTGCTTTTCCAGTTAGCAGACCCTAGCCAACGAAGATAGTCTGTGTCCTAAACTCCGCTCCGACTACGCCAGGCTTCAGTAATTCTCAGTTTGTTCCTTGTTCCAGAATCAATCACTTCTAATATGAGTTCAGTATATATCTTTGCACTGTCCCCAAGGCAGCAGGACTCAGGGATGAGAACACCGGTACTTGGGAGACAAGTAAACACCAAAGTGGGACAGAAGGAAGAGGACAGGATAATGCAACAATATACAGTACCTGAGGAGCAAGTGATGTGGCTTAAGGTGGCCCCAGGTAGATATGACCAGGAAGAATAGGTGGGAAACAGCAAAGGGAGGCTGAATGTCAAGGAAAGCATTCTTAAGAGCATGTAATAGCCTTCCAATGGAAGTGATGGAACCCCCATGGCTTTGGCTATTAAAAATTGGACCTATCAGATCTGTCTAGCTAGATATTTAAATGGTCCCATCAGCATAGTACATGAAGAATAGTTGGTAAGGAGCCATCTTCCTTTAGCAGCATAATGGACAAAATGACATCACACATCTTTTCTAGTGTCTATGATTTATTACATATACAAGGTACTGTCTTGGAAGAAATGAAACTCTGCTCCCATTTTCAAGTTGGAAACCAAATTCTGCACTCCCTGTGGTGATAATTCCATCAAAGTCAGCAATGTTATACCAAATTTACCCAGAGTAGATTTTGCCAGTGTTGGTAGTCCAGAGTGTACTCCATGGATCTAAACTGGAAGGGCCCATTCTGCACTAATTGGCAGGTAATTTTAGAATAAAATAAATAGAACTGGGGCAGTCGGGGGAGTGTGGCCATCTCAGAGGCACTATAATACCACACAGAGCCCGTAAGCTCATCTGGACTAGGCTGGGAGCAGCTGAAAACTCTTACGCTCCAGAGAGTAGTCAGGGGCCAAGTAAAATGAGGTTTTACTAACCTGCCAATGGGCACGTGGCCAGAGCATACAACTCACTGCTCCAGCTGGCAGTAAGTGACAACCTTTCAGGTAATGTCATCAAAGTGGATGAGAATTGACTGGGGCAAGGAGACTGGATTTGTCTTTCATTGTTGAAGTGTTCCTCTCTCCAGGATGGAAACACTTTGATAGGGCATAATTACCTACATGGCCTGTTTTGGAGCTAAGCAAAGCTCAAAGCTAAGCAGGTCTTCAGTCTCCAGGGCCACTGAAAACAAACATGCTGCCATTGCTGTATTACCTAAGATTTGGTAATGCATAGTTAAATATATCAACATTAAAACAGATCTTTAAACAATAAGCTTCTACAATCTGCTGGGGAGAAAGAGGAGTAGCAACAGCAATCTGAATGTACTTGAAGCTTCTCTGATACTCACTCTGACCTCCAAGCCTCACCACCCTTGAAGCAGTGTGAGTGAAGTGAGGTTTCCATGACTTCAATGCAGTTCTGACCAGTGTGAGATCAGAATCTGGTCGTTTATGACTAAGGGCCTGACCTATACGCATGCCCAGGAGCCTTCTGAGGTGGACAGTCCTGATGACCCCAGTGAAACTGCAGGTGGCTGAGAGTGTGCACATGGGTAAGTGCATGCAGATCAGGTTGTAATGTCAAGGTTTTTCTTTATGCAGTGAATGACCACATCCCAAACCCAGATAAGTACAATACACACATTCATTCACAAGTAATGTGTTGTAACAACCAATGGGGAAAAGATAAGATGGTTGAACAAATTATCGGTTTAGTATTATTATCTAGCCAACTTTAAGTCGATCAAGGAACGAAACAAATTATTTATGAATATTTAACTAAATCAATTTGTCAGATAAATTATTCTCAACAAATATTTATCAGTTTCATTCGGTCCTAGGGAAATTACAAATACAAAGTTTCTTCATCCTGGATTAACTTTCTATTTGGTAAACTATCGGCTTCTCTCTTACACACACACATGCCTCTTTTGTTACAGCTCATATGTTTCCTCATCCCTCTTTCTTCAATGCAAGAGCTAATGCTGCTTCTGTTCCCTCCAGCGGAAAGATAATCTGACACATTTCTATTGGTGGGATGGGAAGAAAAGTCAATAACTTGCTTTTTTGTTACTAGGGATAAACTTTGACAGCTGGCTTTGAATGACTAGCATCAGGCTACCTCCCCTGGCACCAGGAGATGGGATGGCAAGGTTTTGTTTGGTTCCCTGGAACTTTCAGAGGGAAAGCAGGGTGCCGTACTGTATTGCTTGTGCCAGTGGGGCAGGTAGGGTCATCCTGCAGACCCACAATGCTCATACTTTTTAGACAGCTGCACTAGTTCCTCAGATTTCTTGACTGCGGCAATCACTTCCTGCTTAGCTGTCTGGGACCTCCTCTGATGTGTTGCTTGAGCAGTTTCAAACACTTCTCTCACTATGATGAGTCTGAACTCTCAAAAAGTCCAAGATGTGTTAAAATCAATGGAACTGTAAGTGCAATAGGGCAGGACAAAGTGGCCTAAAGCTGATTTTGAAGGTCTTCCTGAACTGGGGAGCTTGGTGTTCCTGCCCACTAAGCTAAGCCTTAAAGAAGGTCTT